CCTACTTTAAGGCAGCACCGCTCATCACCTCTGCGCCTGTCTTCTGCCTGCCCAGGGCCGAGCATCATGATGTAGCCACCCACTTATGCTGCCTCCCCCAGGCCCTGTGGCTGTTCCCACTAGGCTTAGCCCAACCCCCTCCCTTCTGGCAGTGCCCCCGGCTTGTAGATTTCCAGTCTTCTCTTCTGTTGTTCCTGGATCCTACATCTTCCATCCTAACTCCATGCTTAGTTTCTTCTTCCCACCCCTGGCTAGCTGGTCTTTCTCTGAGGTTCTGTCCTAAGTCTTCTTTTTACCAGACGTTCTCTGGGTGATATTGCCACATCTATTCACAGCTCTGTTTCTAACTGTAACCCTTCCTCTGGGCTGTAGCTTCTTAGGCCCAAGTATCAAATGGCCACTTCTCCCTGCATGTCTCCCAGACACCTCCAATGGAACAAGTCCTAAGCTAAACTCATTAAGTTTGTTCCTGAATCTGTTCCTCATCCCATATTCTCCATCCAACCCCACAAATAGTTTTCCTTACACCATATGTGCCAAGTCACACGTCTGGATATCACCCTGGCTCCCCTTCCATGACTTGTCTGAGTTATCATCATGTCCTGAGACTGCTGCTTCATTCAAACCCAGAGAAGCCAGGCTCTTTCTGAACACAGAGCCTCAGGCATGCTAAAAGCATGCCGTCTTTGTCCCGGAGGAGCTGAGAGGTCTGGCGAGGAAGTGTGCTATGAGCTTTAGGAAGTTTTGAGGCTGGGGGGGGGGGTGAAGCTCAATGGTAGAGCAGTTGGCTAGTGTGCATGAGGCCCCGGGTTTGAGTCTCAGCACAAGAAGGAGGGAGGTTGGGAGGAAGAGGAGGAAAAGCAGTTTGGGGGAAGTCTTGGAAAGAAAAAGGGGTGGGAGGAAGGGGGCGGGGCAAGAGGCAAGGCCACCTCTATTGACTACCCATAGAGGACAAGGGTTGACTAGAGCTCAGGTGGGGTGGAGGTGAAAAGAAGTAGAGGATCGACCATGTCCGTTCCCACCCACTTCACTAAAGGGAGTGCAATGGCACTGGGATTGTGCAGTCACCTTCTACCTGTCCTCTGGCCCCGCTTCTGCCCCAACTGGCCCATTCCAGAAGGAGTGGTAAGATTTTCCTAAAGCAGCTCCCTGTCATACTCTGCTCAGGGCCCACCAAAGTTCATCCCAGTGCCCTTGAGATAGAGTCGACACCCTTCAGCAGTGCTTCACGTGGATCTCCGTGGACTCACTTCCCCCCATTCTCTTTTAAGGCCACCTAGAGCAGGACCCCTGCCTCATCCACCCTTTGGCTTCTCTAGATGGTTATGCTTCCTTCTACATACCAGCATCAGTAGCCACTGTTTTCTTGAGTACCATGGACCCATCAAGCAAGAGGGTACCTCCAAGGTGTCTTTATGCCCTGTCTTCAGGGCCACGTCGACTGTGGTCCATGAATCACTATCTTGTACTACTATTCTCAAGCGGTCATGTCCCACACTGAGTGCAGTGCCTGTCATGTGGAGATGCTCAGTGACTACCTGATGAACAACTAACTATGTGATGAGACCCCCAACACCATCCAGAGAAGAGGATGCTCTGAGCCTGGGGCCATGGGGAAGGGTATTCCAACCACAGAGGGACTGTAAGAGTAGCCCCAGAGTCCCAGCAGTGAATTATTCACAATACCCTCAGTGTTCTTGTAGCTTGGCTTTTAATGGAGATGGGAAAATACCCACAATTCCATTTTTCAAAGAAAAGCGCAAGTCCTTGGTGTCGTTTCTACATCAGCAAGCGACCAAGCTAGGTGCTTTCATAGGTCTGTCTGGAACTAGAGAAATCTCTACTTGGTTCATTTCCTCAGTATCCTCTAGAGATGTGTGGCTGCAGAAGATGTCACTGGTGGTGGTGGGGAACTGTTGTAGGTTACTGCGTCTGACCGCTGTGTTTTGTCTCCACGTCCCACCCTCCACCCTCATCATCCCAGCATTGAGAACAGGCTGAACCTGAGGAAGAATCTGCACTGCCAGACCTTCAAGTGGTACCTGGAGAATGTCTACCCAGAACTCAGGTACACCAATTGGCTGGAACCATAGCTAGCTGCAAAAAGAGGCCCTTGTCCGGCTTGGACTGGGAGAGACATGACCCATGGCTGATGGGAGGAGAGTCTTTAAGTCTTTGGAAGACTGAGCAGACCCATCAGTCCTGCTTATCCTAAAGCCAGAGAATTGCATTGAACTTAGTAGCCTAAGAGACTGGGCTTAGCTGGTAGCAGAATCTCTCCATTGATGGGGGTGGTACCCTGGGCTATGCTCAGAGCCTAGGATGGGTGACATAGACTCCATCCTAGAGATCAATCTGCTGTGTGGCTTCTGAGGGTCTCTTCTGCAGCACACTAACAGCATCCTTCCCGCCTCTGAGCAGTGCCAACCTTCGTGACAGCTTTAGGGGAGATGGCTCTGCCCTCTCAAAACACACCTGCAATCTGTCTAGCAGTTAGCAGCCACTAATGTCAAAACAAAAAACAAACAAACAAGCAACAAAAACAAAAAGCCATTGTATTCTCATCTGTCCTCGTGGCTTCCTACAGGGTCCCCCCAGACTCCTCCATCCAGAAGGGCAATATCCGGCAGAGGCACAAGTGCCTAGAGTCCCAAAAGCAGAAAAACCACGAGACTCCACACCTCAGGCTAAGCCCCTGCACCAAGGTCCAAGGAGAAGAAGCAAAGTCACAGGTATAGTAACTCTCTGTGGTCATAGCTCTCCATGCCATGCAGAGTAGAGATGCCCAGGTTAGCCTTGGTCCCTGCTTTGGCATGACACCAGGGGTCCAGAATGGAGGAGCAGAAGGACCCTTCTTGCTTGGCCTCTGGCTTTTTTTCCACTTGGTTAACAAATACATGGAATTCCTTTGGAAGATGGTTCCCAAATGGCATCTGCCCTTAGGAAACGGTCCGGTCATTTCACGGGAACCCCAAAGAGACGGGCAGCTGTCTCCTACCTACAGGCAGTAGACATGGGGCTGGGCCAGGCAGGGAAAGCCACACGACCTAACTCTGCACATGTGACGTGCAAAGAGGAAGATAAGCCTGCTGCCAGTCGTTGAGACCAGAGGCCCCAAAGGGGGAGTCTCTCAGCTGTCTTCCAGGCTATCCTATCAGCTTTGGCTAAACCACCCATGGCTCTATCCCTGGGCACCCTCCTGCTTCCCCTGTGTCTGTGGATTGTTTGGGGCTCTTTCCAAGGAGGCTTTCCTTGTTCCTTACTAGATTTGCGAACAGAGCACACCCTGTCCAAGTACCGTGTTCTGCCAGTATTCCCCCTTCTGAAGCTAGACCTGCTGTTTTCCAGGTCACTGGCAAATTCGCCACCTGTCTCAACCTCCATAGCCCCTGGCCAAGCACAGCCATTGCCTGACTCCCCTCTCTGCCTTGTGAATCCGCAGGATCTCTGCCGCCTGCTCCTCCTGTCCAAGTTCTTGCCTCGCTCCTCTCCCGACCTTTGGGGGTGTTTACTGAGGTTCTCAGTCCCCTCTTTTTTGCCCCCTCTATGAACTCTTGGAGCTATTACCTGTATTTCCAGCTTTGACCATCTCCTGTTTATTGATTCACAAATTCTGTGCCTTCATGCATCATTTATTCACTCAGCGGACGTTGTTAACTCTCAAGATGCACAAGGGCAAGGCCGGGCTGCGGGAGGAAATGTGTAAGCAGCCACTCTAATCTAATTTCTGTCCCCGAGCCTTTGTCACTGATACTATAGAAACAGAGAGGTGGCATCCAAGCGTTGTATGAGCATTGCAAAGCTGTCCCAGAGGACTTGAAAACCGGGCTTCTGTTTGGGAACGGTAGGTAGTAGAAACAGACAAGGTCAGGGAGGGAAGGGAGGGTGAGCCAGGAAACACAGCATATACTGTGACCTGGCAGGAGTATAAGGATGGGTTTTAGGGAAACTGAGGTCACAAGGTAAGGTGAGGGCAAGTAGATGTTGGGATTGGAGAGAAGCAGGACCTCGGTTACTGTCTGTCTTCCGGAGGAAGTAGGTTCCTGAGGAAGTTGAGTTTTGTCCTCATTAGTGAGACCTCTATGAGGTCCCACTAGAGGGCTCTGGGAACAGAAGGTTCACAGTTAAGGACTCCCACCTGGACAGTGGCTCAAACACCGTGTGACTGAGGGAGTCAAACTCCTCTGTGGTTTAAACTCTACGGATGGCCCTGAGCACCCCGGTTGCCTGGCAATGCACAGTTCTCTGCATGTGTCACCCTTTGCCCTGGTGCCATGGTTCCAATTCTCACTAGTGTTTTGACCCTTCTCCCTCCCATAGTCCCCTGTGTCTGCAGCCCACTGTGTTCTCCCCAGGGGAAAAAAAAAAAAAACAGAAAAAACCTCTTCTCATACCCCACCCTCACGTATTCCTGCTAGCTCTCCATTTCCCCAAGACCAGCTCCACTGACTTTGGGAACTAGGTAATTCTTTTAAAATATCCCCATTGAGACTCTCTGTGTTAGATTACCGCCACAGCCTCTATCTAGTTGGTCCTCCTGCCCCATCCCTCATCCCCACTTGGTGTGTGCTCTCTAAACCAGCATCCCAACCTCAGCACAGCCTTCGGTGGCTCTCTCTTGTTCACAAGCATCTACACTCTCAGACCTGGCTCTGGCTTGAAATGACTTTGCCAGCAGCAACCTCTGCTCCAAACAGGGTAGAGGGGGTGGTGTGGGAGTTCGATTAGACTAGAAAGGACAGGAAATGGGGGTGTCGATTTTACTTTAGGTGTGGCTGCCCCGGAGGACTGTGACATAATTGGCTCAAGTGGCACTTTGTAAAGCATCGCGCGTAGGTGACACATCTCTCTGTGAGTCTGAGTGTGGGTGTTACTCATGGGAATTCCAACAGTCAGAATGTTGTCTGGCCCCTTCCCTGGGACAAGATTTGCTTGGTCTATCTCCAGCTGAGCAGAGCCTTTCTGGGACTTGCCAACTTTGGTTGCATAAGGAGGTAGGAGGGAAAGACACCAACTCTCTGGGCCTGAGAGAGGGTCCTTTAATACCCAGTCCTAGGAGAGGTAGCAGGGTCATCTTTACCTGGAGGAGAATGGCCCATCCCAGCTGCCCTTTCAGATGACCTTCCTGAGGTAGGGGGAAGGCACACCATGGCAGGCACTTGGGGCCACTGAGGAAAGGCCATGTAGGTACACAGTGCTCTCTCCTTGAGGCAGTGGTAGGCTGTCACTCTGCTTTGCTTTGTGATAATGGCTGGTTTGCGTGACTTTCAGATGCTCGATTACTGTTAACCTCCACAAACTGGAGTACCATATTACCTGCGGGGGAGACAAAGTGGGCTCATTCAGAATTAGACACAGCCCCCTTCTCCAAGGGCGCACAGCCCAGCAGCAGGATTGGGCTTCACCTTCAGGTACTCAGAAGGAAATCCACATAGCTATTTCAGCTAACAGCATCTCTGTGAAATGAACACATATGCACCTGTTATATATCTTTGCAGGACCGACTTGTGATCTTTTCTCTTCTTACTGGGATCCTCTTCCTCCCTCATACATCTCCATCATTACCTTACCATCCTTCATCTCTGTCTGCAAACCACAGGCACCAGTGGGGTTCCTTCCCCCCCCAGCACAGTTCTGCCCCTTCTTATCTTCTTCTTCACTACCTTTCTGGACTTGGCCTGTCAAGAGGGTGGATCTCTACCCTTGGACTCCTTCAGCGTCTCTTCCTGAGCCCACCTCTTCAGTCACTGTGCATCCATAGCAAGGGGGTGATACAAGAACCAGATGAAGTAGGTATTACCCCTACCCACTACTTCACAGCTGATGCCACCACAGCTCCCAGAGGTTAACTGGGGTTACACACTAGTGGTGACCTCCCCCCCACCACACTAAGCCTATCCAGCAGTTCTCTCTGGTGCTTTTTACAGCCAAGTCATGGTTCCAGAGCTTTATTAGATGTGTAGTCATGGGAGAAGACACCTGTGTGTGACCTTCCTCTTCAAGGTTATAAATATTAAAACGGTTAACCAGCTCCATCTTGACAGGAGAAAGCTGGCAAGAGGGTCTTCGTTATAGACAATTTCAAGTGACAAATTCAGAAGCAAAAGTCATTCCTCCGTAAGAAGGTCTGGAGTCAGTAGAGAACAGTATCCTCCCTAACATTTATGAGAGTTTGGGCAAGAGCGTGACTGGGCGGGGGGGGGTGTCTATGTTCCACAAACACCACACCATACCCCAGAGACACATGTTATACTGGCTTACTGCATTTGCCTGGCTCCAGTTTCTTCCCACTTCTGGCTCTGTCCTACATGATGAACTCTAAGCTTTCATATTCAAGTATTATATTGAAAGCCTAGTGTGTGTGTGTGTGTATAATCAGAGACTCATCCTACCCTGAGAGGACAAACCCAGGCATTGGATCAAGACAGACCCTGAGATCAGGTTGGAGCCACTGGGTGGGTGTTCTAGGACCCTGAATTATGGAGAATGGGACAAGGAGGTCCAAGTTCTGTCTCTAGCTGACATTCATTTGCCAGGCAGGTAAAACCCAGGTACTGGGATGTCCTCATGCCTGCAACAATACTCCCTTGATTTAGTTTGGTTTGTTTTTGTTGGCAGGGCTGGAGATCAAACCCCAGAGTCTTACGGTTCTCTAACCATGCTACATGCCCAGCATGAAGGCTATTTAACTAGTTAATCCAGTAGTT